ACTTTGTTAAAAATAGCGCACAACTCATCCTAAAATTCAAGCAACTTTGAGACAACTTTTCAAAAACCACTTTAACAGCATTTCCAGTTAGCAAAGTCATAACTTATTCACCCTAGAATTACGCAAAAGAAGATCAACAGCGAATCAAAACCATCGTAATCTGGTTCGAAAATTTCAGAGATATTCAGCTGTTCGACAAATGCAATAGAGGGAACAAAATAGAAATAAAAAACATTACATTTGCAACTATTGGTTCGTTAATCCTATTTGTTTCCCCCTTGGTATTTATACAAAATTGCTTGGAGTGTTTCCAAACTGCTGATGCATATATGCTTAACAAATAACAGGTATTAACTGAATGTATGTATATTAGAATGAGAGAGCTTAGTAGAGTTTCGTTCGGCGCGTGGAAGCATCCCCCTAATCAAAATGGAATTCTCACGCTGACTGTCCGAGCGATCTTGCTGTGTCCAGTGTTTACAACAAAAAACTTCAACAAAAATCTGTCTCTCTCAAAAAAAAAGGAAAAAAATACCCTTGATGCCAAATGTACAGCTACAATGCGGCGCAGTACTTCATACTGTTCATTTTGTTCAAACAACAATTCATCGGCAAGTTCCGGAACAATTGTAACTGCATAACATAACACTGGTACCACTTTATCTGATGTGTCCCGTTCGATCAAATATCGCAAAACAGCGCTCACCAGCCTCCTTGTTTCCTCGTTTGAGCCATCCTGCATTAATTTCACTTATTATTTACTGCAATAAATTTTCTACAAATAAACTTATCACGACTACAATCAAAAATGCTCGTCTGATCTGTTTCAAGCCACAGCTAGCCATATCCATTACACACAGGTGTATGCCTCATCGGAGACATATCTTAACTGTCCATGAATATCACTCGTTAATGTGCTATGCCTGGAATTTATCTCCAACAGAATTTGTCATCTCGAAACCTTGCAAATAACAAGCTGCTGAACAATGCAAAAAAATACGGAAAAAACAAGATGACAAAAATCATTTTAGGCATAACCCTCTACACATATTTTGTATTGAGTAAAAAAAAAACAAATCGAATCGGAAACAAAAAATCAATCCTCTCCCTCCTCCCCAACAGCATCATATTTCACTTTTTTTTAAAGATGAAAGCACTCGGATGTAGTTTAATTAGTAGCACATGTCAAGAGCAATCAATCACCAGCAAAACTGCCAGTGATTCCCTCTCCATAATTTTAGAATGACGCTAATAGAAGTTCCCTGACAGATGACAGTAAATCACAACAAATAAACGAGGAATTTC